TGTCCCCCAGGTTCGATTTCATTTTAAGCCTATTTTGTCTTTGAAGGTTTAATTGTAGAGAAACACCTGTAATACACATAAAACTCCATGAACAATATTTTCATTTTTTTTTCTTTTTCTCAAACATTCAACTCTGCTTTCAGTATTAAAAAGCTCTTCATAAATTAAAGCCAAATATTTTGAGCAGTGATTAGATCTTTATTTGATAGATAGATAGATAGATAGATAGATAGATAGATAGATAGATAGATTGATATATTTAAAACAAACAATATCATATATACCTTCAAAAACATACTTCTGGACATTGTTGAAATGCACTTGGATTTCTTACATATCCAGGACTACACTCTGCAAGTTTTAGCAAATAAAAAAATCCCCCAGAAGAATCTTAATTCTTATCTATGGAAAACATTAAACTGCTAAGCACTAACAACTGGAATTAGCCCTTAAATCTCTAATGAGAATAATAAAACAAGAGTGCAGTTTGTGCTGGAACTTGATAAGGCCTGAATTTACTTGCTGTTAGGAAAAGTTCCTGATCCAGCAGTATGGCTTTCTACTCCCTGCGGTACAGGAAACAATATCTGTCCTCTAGGAACATCCTTCGTGGTAAGCACTTCTTATCGGTGTTATCAAAGGACTGAGATAGCAGCGTAATATCTAGTAACAGCAGCTTTATGAGAAGATCCATTACTGATTTAAATCAATCTAAAGCAAGGGGCTGTCTTTAACCCATTCAGATCATTGCTCAACTTCTAACAGCACATTTAGCTTTACCATGAAAATACATATGCAGCTGAAGAAGACATAACTGTTTTTGCTCGCATAATTTGGCCTGTAAACTCCTACAGACACAGAGATATCCGCCCCCCCCTCTTAGTTTTGACAAGCTTCTAGAGAAAAGGGTATTTTCTTTATTGACAGGTTTCAGATGGTACATGGTGCTCTGAAAGTAGAGTCATGCTCCTTAATTATTTACATTTATGTATTTACCACATTTGTATGCCACCTTTTTCCCAGAATGAAGCCCAAGGCAGCTTCCCAAAACAATCAATTGCAAAAAAAAAATTAAACAATTAAAGTGTCTTAAAATTGTATTAAAACATTTTTAAAAACAGGTTTTAAAAGAGGAATAAAATGTCCACATTAAATGGGGAAATGATGAAGCAATAAGGTAAATGGGTTTTTTAAATAAAAAACAACAACTACTCCAACAGAAGAGCAGATGTTTCATCACAGGTGTAGCGCATGTTCTTACAAGCAAATGCAAAAACCAGACAAAAAAAAGAGAAAATTGTATTTCTAAAACTTAAAACCAGCAGTGTTTATAGTGAGATTCCTGACACCGATTTAAAGTGAAGGATAATGCACTGCAAGCAGCCAGGCCCAAATTCACACTGACATGACTGCCTTCAGCATAAGATGACAACAGGGAAATACTTGTTTTGATGGTACAACAGGTTGCAAGGTGAAGCATGTGACTACAGAATACATTAGCAAAATGAGAGGGTGAGTATCAGGGTGAGTGGAAGTGGCAATGTTTTGGTGCTATTGCTACTACCAATAATATCTCCAAAACCCTGCCTCTAACATTCAGGCAAAACTATTAAGACATCAAACTATAACTGAATAACATCATTTTAAAAGAAAACTGCTATTTTTGTTTACTTGAAATATAAGCATAAAAATTTTCTCCAGGTAACTGCTTCATGAAGTAGACCAGCACACAAGATAAGGACATTCTGCTACAATAATTGCAGAAGCCATAGTAACAATCACAGGTTTAAAAAGCTGCAGTTGATTCCTTTTCTTTTATTTGGACATTATTAGAATTAATGGGCAGTGGAACTGCCAATAATGATTGCACCATCTTTAAAGTAAATTGTTTTAATTTCATTCTGCGAACAGTTTCCAGGAATTTTGCTATCCTGAACTTGCTAGGCCTTGCTTCCACATGTACAGAAATGTGCTATTAATCAAATGCATACAAATATAAGTATCCCACTATTTTCATGTTTGTTTTGCTTTTGGGTTATGATCTAACATGGATCAGAATTTTTCAATCAGTCAATCTACAGAGAAGGGGCCGCATTTTTGTTATCTTGTAATAGATCGGAAATATAGAAAACACTGACAAACTCCCAATGCCTTTCTAAAAGTCAGGCCTTTATTTAGTTAAGACACACTTTAAAAAGGAGAATGGACAGATGAGTAACCAATTCCATCACAGCTAGGATGAAGACATGATTTTAAAGATATATGCCCACTGAAAGCGATAATGTGTGATTAGGAGATATTCATTATTTCATATATATTCAAGGCCATGGCAAATAGTTCAGGATCCAGCAAGTAATGTGACTGCAAAAACCTACTTTTAAAGAGAAACCAATATAGTTGGACAGGCTGAGTAAAAAATAACCAAGTCCTAAGAACTGTGCAGCTTCTGCAAATGTTATATGGCCATATAAGTATTGAGCCAAATCTCAATTCCACTTCCTGACCCTGCAACTAGGAGATGTTCTCTTCTTTCATAGTTGCAGGGTCACTAAAGCAATAACTTTGTAAATTAGTTCAAAAAGAAAGAAAAGGCCAGGTTTATCATTTACTAACACCCAATCATATTTCACATGACTTACAATTATTTTTTTCCTTACCAAAGGAATCAGTGGCTGTATCATGAAAATTGTTAACTTACAATTTTCTATACATTTTATCCCATTTTTGTGATTCTTGCTGCAAGATTTAAAGCCTGGTCTTCAATATGATAATGGAAAAGCTAGCTTCTTGGAGCAAAATGTCCCTGAGTAAGTTTGCCTATGACTACAACCTCAGATTTATACTTACTTTTCCTCATTTTCATTTGGCTTGTGATCTTGGAGCAGGAGTGTATCTGCTCCTGACAGACAGCAAGTACTGTCATGTGTGTATGTATTTCCCACTTGCTAGGTTAATTCCCGTAAAAAGACCACTACAAAACAAACACAATCCTTTAAATATCCACCATTGTAAATGGCCACTACTATGAATTATCAATATTTCCAAGCTTTTATACATCTCTGCTCCCATTTAAATGTGCATCTGTTGTTAACTGTGTAGTAGACCTTCCTGCCACTTTCAAGATTTTGAGGAACATCAGAACAGCTCTGTCATCTTGCAAAGATAAATGAAACTACAAAGTTTCTAAAGTGCAGAAGCATCCAGTCTGGGAAGATCTGGCAAGGCCATCTTGCATTCCTTTGTCCTCTATAGAAACTAAGCCCCATTCACTGACAATAACAATTCAATATTTACTCTATTCGTATTGTGTTAGCTTTTCTTGCTGTTTTCCCATCTGAAGTAAAAGATGTCTTACTGTTGATAAGGACAACTCCACACTACTAATAGAATAAACCTTACTTCTGGGGTGTATCAAATTGTTCTTCCTTTTTTAATAAAAGTATGTACTTGAAGTCCATCTTTTGCTATTTTATTTACATATTTAATTAATAGCATTCAAGAGTATTTTCTTTCACGATAGGCTGAGATGATAGATAGATAGATAGACAGACAGACAGATAGGTAATTTTTATGTACTTCGAAGTCTTTTCCCCCAATTTATGAATGCAACATAATTTTTAGGCAGAAAAAATGACTATTTGCATGACTAAAAGGAATATTTCTGTGATTAACATCAAAGTAAAAAAAAAATCAGGCCTACAAAACTAAGATAGAAATCCTATCAGTATTTCTAAGTTTTTGCTGATCAACTTCTGAAACTGCCTGAAGCGAGCTAAAGAAATTCAACCCATGAATTCAGTATTTCCCTGTTCCTTTTAGAAATGCCAATCATCCATATTTTTTTCTGCTTTCTAACTGCTTGCAAATTTATGCGAATAATGTGGCCCTACAATTGTCAGTATTAAGTCATTTGCATTGTGCCACCAATTCAGTTTCATATTTTAAAAGTTTGGTTTAGCAAGGGAAAGGCTAACATCCTATCCTCCATTTCTACAGAGAATTATTCTTTCCAGCGAGTACCATCTGTGCAAATTAACTGAGAGATCTAATTTCTCTCTGACCCCCACTTCTCTCGCTCTGTTTCCACTCTAGCAAAGTAGTTAAGCTAGCTATCCAACAACTAACATAGAAAATAATTGCAGTCAGTTATGCTCATTTCTCCCATGAAGCACTTGCTAAATGACCCAAAGTATGGTCTTTAATGTCCTTGCTCCACAATACCAGACTCGGTCAAGACCCCATTAATATATGTCTTCCTATTCCTCCCTTCTTTACCAGACTGAATTACTTTTAAAATTAAAGCCTGTGTCTAAAATTAAACTCTGAGTCACATCGAACAAAGCATTCACCAACCACTCAGGGTGATTTAAACCTCACACTGCCACTGTTTACACTGATTTTATTACAATCAAGTCACAATAATTGAAGCCAGCTAATTATCCCATTTTATTTCCTACATGACATCCGACAATCATTTCAGGCCAAACTATGCAGCAAGAACAACAGCAGCAATAGCAATGTTCAATTCACAGGGGCCTTGTAAAAAACACAACAACAAGGAAAAGAAGGTGTTCTATTCAAACGTTGCTTTAAAACTCTTTTAGCAAAATCAGGACAGTGGCAGATGCGACAGATACAGTTAAGCAGAAGTGGGAAAATTCATAACCCAATTACTACTTCTGGATTGCAGTTATGAATTTATTCCAGCTTTGTATTTTGACTTGCTGCAGCTGCTCCAGTTTCCAGGGTTTCATTTATGGAAATGTAGAGGAAAGTGGTTTGTTAGTTTGCTCTTAAAGAGAACTTTAAAGAATTCATTCTCCTCCAAAGTGAAGAAGATCAGTAACAGGCTCTGAGTTAAATCAAGTTCAGACAGCGTAATAATGATGTCATTAAAACTTCCAAGCTGAATGGAAATGAAGATTGTCCTAGAAGTGAGCTGCAGACATAAATCTAGAAGAACTTTTTTTCTTTTTTTGGCTACACAGTCTCAGGCTTACCTTGAAACGATCTCGAGGAACTCCTCCAGCAATGTAAGTCGACATGAATTGCCATCCCAAGGAGGTGTGTAGGATCAGAGAGACCTCACAATGACATAGGCCCCACGGATGCCTCTTCTTGGACACAGGAAGGATGTGGCATTCAAAGTAGGACTATGTAAAGAGACAGCTCTTTTCAAGAAGGCGCGCACACCAAGAAAACAAATAAGCCTTAGTGCTGCTATCACAAATAAAAAGGAGAGAAAGAGGCGAGGCAATTGTAGGGCTGCTCAAAGCTTCTTTGCCGTGCTGAATGAAAGCAATCCCTAAGACTGAATGGGTAATGAGATCCTGGCTCCTGAGATTTTAGCTTTCTTAATCATGTTCATAATTAATTCAAGAACATTGATAATTTCATTACATTCTTTTTGTCTTATCAATAAATGATGTGCCTGCACTTTTGGTCCTGTGTACAGGGAGAGAAGAGATGCTTTGGGTAATATTGCACCAGGAAGGAGAAGAAGAAGAAGAGAAAGAAGGAAATAGCATGTGCATATTGGTGGAATGCATTTATTAATAGAGGTAATTCCAAAATATGGAAGTGCTAATAACGGTCACTGAGTAGGTCCCTGTCCTCAAAGTAGGATGTCATTCAGCTACAAATTATTAATAAGCACTGATACAGAAACCAGGGAGGGGAAATTTCATCCAAAATGATGGAAATGCCCTGTCTGGCTGAGTGAAGAGAAGTAAGGGCCAATTTGTGCTATGGAAACTAAGGGTTTCTTACAGAAGGACTTCAAAATATCCAAATGTTACTTCTATAAAATATCTCAAGAATATATTTAAAGACAGGATCACTTCCTTGGACTGTGGTCTATTGTTGACTCTCTTAAAAGCCTTTTAAGGAAAGTTTGTTTCAAGAATGGGGAAATATCTCAATGGATGATTGATAGATAGATATAGATAGATAGATAGATAGATAGATAGATAGATAGATAGACAGACAGACAGATGACAGATAGACAGGATAGGTATTTTTATTTTGCCTGTGTGTCTATATCTATATCTATCCAAGGTAACCCCATATAATACATACATACATACATACATACATACATACATACATACATACATAACCCCTAGGGGGTTGAGAAGGGCAGGTTAGAAATGTGGGAAATTCTCATGTCTCCCAGATGCCAGAGTAGTAGTGGATAACAGAGACACTGTCCAACTGCTGGTTTGGTTTTTGTTTTCCATCTGTGTAGTTCTCTCCATGTTAATTACTGAAATGTTAATTACTATTATCATTCAATATTTTGACCTGAGATGATATTGAAATCCTAAAACAGCCTTTCGTAGCCTACGCTCCACCAACATAGTTGTACTGTCATTCCCATTACTCCTGACCACTAACCATGATGGCCAAAAAGTATGGGAATCACAATCCAATGTCACCTGGAGATCTAGGTGGGGAAGGACTATCCTACACTTAATCACTAAGAAGTACATCTTCATGGATATAGTAGAATTTTAGCTTTTGAGGAGGAATAAGTTGATTCTATTGTTAGACATACTTTGAGCAGACTTTGTAGACCATAGAATTCCAGACAACTGTGTTGAGCTCAGTGGCAGCTTCTATTCTTCTGCTAATTTGCTGGACAGCTCCTACCTGAATGCCCAGAATGCCAAGACCAAAATACTCAGGGACACAGTAATTGTTGGGCTGCACTGTTGACCGGCTTTATTTAGTATGACTTTATTCAGATGTGATAAATACCTCATAAGCCATATCTATACTAGAAATGTTAAGTAACTGAATGGCAATTCCTTGTATTTCACTTTGCCTGGGAATATTTGTCCTTAGGAAATTCTTAGAAGTAGCTAGAGATTTGTTTTCTTCAGCTAAAGTGCAACTCCTAAAATCCTGTGGGGAAGCCATGAGAAACTGCAGTAAATCTGTACACATCTACAGTTCGGATATGCCCAGAATTTGGAAGTTTTTTATTTACATATCTTTTTCTTGGGAGAAAGCAGTTGAGGGCTGCATCCAATTGAAAACAGGAAACCCAATGTCAAAAAAAGTGTAAGAATACCTGCACACTCAGATGCTCACAAAGTCATGTGTTCTACCATTATTTTTCCCCAGAATATTTTATTTGTAAGTATATTGTCTTTATACATGGTGGTATATAGTCTCTGAATTTGCCTAGTTCTTACATGAAGAAGCATCGTGTTTTGTATGTCCTCAATCAACTGCCAATTAAAGTTTGTGTACACTCAAATGACAGTATTTACATTAGTTTGTGGGATGTGTCATGTATAAGACAAAGTAGTTCCAAAATCTCCCTCTACAGAATCACTTAGCAAAGCAAGCTGTTGCCTGTGACATTGATGTATGGGTCGTAGATGATGTATATACTGGGCAGATTTATCAGTAAATCATTGACTCCCTTTACTTCCCTAAGGAACTGGACCTGCCCAGGCGAGAAGACTCTTTGTCAGAACCACTGTTAGAGGATTAATATTGGCAAAACATTCAATTTTGATTTGTTCATGTGGATGTTTCATAAAATGTAATTTAATAAGTCCAAAAAAGGCTGGATTTCACCTTGAGATATGGATGCTATGGCTAGGAGAGCAGCAGTCTCTTTTAACAGTTTCACTCCCTTCATTGGTCATCATCTAAACAGTTTCCTGATGAAATCCTATATGTATACTGTTTCATTCAAAAATTGTATAGTTTCCTGGAATTCTCCTACAAAAAATGTAAAAGACCTCTATCTCAACTGAGAAACAGAAATTAACTGGACTGTTAAAAACCAGTTGGCCATAATGATACATACATACCAAGTTCATTGAAAGTCCAGAAGAAAACATTCAATGGAGAAGAAATAATGAGTTAATGTACACAAGAAATTTATACCACCCAAATCCTGGAATCATTCAACATCCAGTAAGTTTTAAGAGGTTTAATTGCAACTGTGATAGAGAGTTATTTATTTGGGACAAACAAGAAGGTGCGGAAGAAGAGGAGGAGGAGGAGGAGCAGGAGCAGGTGAAGGGGAGGAGGAGGAGGAAAATTCAGAGACCTAGAAATTGTAGTTTCTGTACCTAATTTTGTATGCTAAAATTTGAAAACAGTGTTAAGATTGCTTACGGTCAAATCAGGAGAGAGGAACATATGTTGTCGACTTTCTAACTTAGCCCAAGTGAAACCGTATCAGCCTTCTCCTTCAGATTGCAACTTCAGCCATTGCCAGCATAACCAATGGTGAGGGATAATGGAAACTGCAATCCAGCAATGTTGAAAATTCCATGCCTTCCCCACATGCTGTAAGTAGACCAATTGCAGATGTGAAGTAAATATTGCCAATGGGGGTCTGTGGGGAAGACCAAGTTGCATGTGACAAGGTGTTCTTATTGACTTCATTGTCCTCCAAAATGTGGCCAGAGAGGCTGTAAACTGAACTATAAGAGTGGTTTGGTGGGAGTGCCTAAATTTAAGGTCCAGTTTGAATGAATTTAAGTACAGGCATAGTTTAGAAAATAAAATTCAACTCCAGGGAACATGTTGTATGCCATACAGTGTAGTGTTTAGTCTCAACGTGATCAAGCAATCAGTTTCATGATTGTGGCAGTATAGAAAATCATTGTATCCCTATTGATACTATTTTCATGAATAATTTTCAATTTCACTTGGCTCACTGAGTCATATCATATCAAAGCTTTAAAAGTAATGGTTCCATTTCCTCTGTGTTTCAAGAGGCTGGTTTATCTAATACTAAAGCAGGTTTGATTACAACAAAAATATTAAATTCATATATAGCTGTTTTTGTTCTGTTGACTATGACCTACACAAATGACATTTGCTGGAAGTATTTTTAACCCCAATGACAATCAATAATGCTGACGTCACAGCAGCTAAACACCACAACACGCAAAACTCAATATCTTAAGGCAAAGTGATCTACTGAAAAAACAGTCTTTTTCTTTTGTTAAGGATTAAACCATTGGGGGTTGGTGGTTTCTATGCAAGAGCAGCAGTTTTAGTCAGAACTTTAAAAGATTTATGTGAGTACCTACTTTATTCATCTTCAACAGTTCCTATAAAGTGTGGGCAAAATGCTAGAGCAAAATAAGATGAGATGGGGATGAGATGAAGTGGACGACATTTTACACACATATATACACACAGAGAGATGTGCATATGCACACATATATGCACAACTTCTCCTTCCCAACTAAAACAAATTTCAGCAGAACTGGAAACCTACAGATCCTTATCATGGATGATTCTACATATTGAACTCACCTACATATTATGTTCCTCATGTAGATGCGATACACTTGCTTACAGGTGCTCTCCCTCTCTTGAAGGAGAATAAAGAAGATGCCTCAGGTGTTGAATAAAAGTAATAGTAGGAAGATGTTGCAGAGTAGATCATTAAACTGATGGTCTGTAAGCACATAGAAAATAATGCCATGATTACTAAAAATCAACATGGATTTCTCAAAAACAAGACAAGATTAATATTATCTCTTTTGAAATGGTGTTACAAGCATAGTAGCTGAAGGGAGTGACATGGATGTAGTGTATCTTAATTTTAGTAAGGTCTGTGACAAGAACCTCATACATATTCTTGCAAACAAGTTTCTAATGTGTGGGTTAGACAATGTTACTGTTAGGTACAGTATATTTGTAAGGGCCCATCTGCACAAGCCACTTACCACAGGGCTGGTCCAAAGAGGCAATATTCTAAGCAGGCCCTGGGAACACCTATTCTGCATTTCTCCATCATCCTTCAGTGGTGGGACAGAGACCAAACAGTTCAGAGGGGCCAACCCTGGTTCAGCCCCACTGGATGCCCAACATTTTCTGTATCCAAAGAGCTCCTGGTCCTTCTTGGGTGTCTTTGGCATTGCAAGCAATGGCACCCATATGTCTAAGTTGGGAGGGGAAAGGGAGGAGAGTGATCCTCCTTCATTCTCTGAATCATGCAGGCACCTTTGTTGACTTGGCCTGGGGCTCCTTGGAGTTTTGTGTTTGTAGCTACAATGAAGACAAAACAGGTGCTACCCCATTTTTTCTGTTATGTGGAATATAGGAAAAAACAAAATAGTGGCACTGGCCCATGTACACAGAATTGGTCCAGCTGGTCACACTATCCCAAAGTGTGGGGATTCCCTAACATGGGACACAATTGCATTCAGTGGTTGTGTTCTGTGTTGGGAACAAGAAGGTTCTTGTATCATGTAAATGCCACAAGGCTGATTTTCACCCATTTCAAGGTGTGATGTCCAAATAGATGAGCCCTAA